AAACTTCTGCTTCTTGAAAAATGAATCAATTTTCATATTCCAAGCTGTGAGCGCTTGTTTCAGTCCATACAAGGCTTTATGTAACTTGTATACCATCCCTTCCTGATTCATTTTCACAAATCCAGGAGGTTGTGACACATATTTCTCTTCTTGTAACAGACCATTCAGAAATGCAGACTTCACATCCAGATGTATCAAAGGCCAATTTATGTTTTCAGCTAAAGCAATCACCAGTCTGATTGTTTCATGTCTAGCTACAGGCGCAAACACCTCAAAGTAGTCTAGCCCAGGTTTCTGAAGAAAACCTCTAGCCACTAGTCTCGCTTTGTGTTTTCCAATTGATCCATCTGGCTTAAGCTTCACCTTGAAAACCCAATGGCTTTCTTTTTTTCTGGAAGCTTCGTCAACTTCCAAGTTTTTTTTCTTTCAATAGCCTCAAGTTCTTCCTTCATGGCATTCAACCATACTTTCTTCTTGAGAGCTTCTTCAATATCCACTGGTTCAGAATCTACTAGCATGGCACACTGAACGAATTCTCCTTCAGAATCTACTTCAGTATCATACAACATGCTAAAATCTGCAAACCTGCTTGGTATTTGTCTGATTCTCCGTGGCCTCTGAACTTGTTCTGAAGCTTCTCCAGAACTCGGAACAGTGTTAGCTTCTGGACCTTGTCCAGAACTACTTCCTTCAAAATTATCACCTTCAGAGTTACTTCTGGAAGCTTGTCCTCCAAATCCTATGTCTTCAGAGTTTTCCCTTCCAGAAATATAATCACCACCAGATTCTGGATCATCATCAGAATCTGGATCAGAATCAGATCCACTATCAGAATCTCCCTGAGATTCTGACTCATCTTCAGAGTCTTCAGAATCAGATTCATCTTCTTACTCTTGCTCGTCTTTAGAACTTTCTGAAGAATCTTCAGAAACTAACTCTGGTGTTAGTGCTACACCAGAATCTGATTGAGGCTTATTCCAATCCCATGTTTCTGACTCTTTCACAATAACGTCTCTGTTGATTTCAACTTTGTTGGTTTTTGGACAATAAAGCTTATAGGCACCTGTACTGTGGTACCCCTCCAGTAACATTACTTTTCTTCTATCATCCAGTTTCTGTCTTCTAGCTTCTGGAACTTGTTTGTAGCATACAGAACCAAACACCTTCAGATGGCTAACAATTTGCTTAACTACAGTCCACTTTTTTAAAGGAACAATTTCCTTCAGCTTCTTCGTTGGACCCCTATTCAGAACATATGCTGATGTGGCAACAGCTTATCCCCATAACATGTGAGGTAGCTTCTTCCCTTTCAGCATACTTCTGGTCATATCAAGCAATGTTATGTTTCTTCTTTCAGCAAGACCATTGTGTTAAGGAGTATATGGAGCAGTAACCTCATGTTCTATTCCATTCTCCTCACAGAACTTATGGAACTCTGTAGAGTTATACTCACCTCCACCATCCGTTCTCAGAATCTTCAACTTCTGACCACTCTTCTTCTCAGCCTTCACTTTGAACTTCTAGAACTCAGTAAACACTTCATGCTTGAGCTTGATCAGTGTTACCCATGTCATTCTTGTGAACTCATCCATAAAAGACGCAAAATATTTATTTCCTCCAAGTGAAGATACTGGAAATGGTCCACACACATCAGAATGTACTACTCCCAAAGCATGCTTCACTCTGGGGGCTACTTCTGATGCAAATAGCAATCTGGGTTGCTTACCTTTCATGCATATCTCACATGACTTCTCAGGCTTCACAATCTTCGAAATTCCATGTATAAGCTTCTTAGAACTTAGATGCCCTAAGCTTCTATAGTTCAAGTTCCCCAACCTCTTGTGCCACAGCTTACTATCACCTTCAGCGCCTTCTGCACTAAGACACTCTGCTTCAGTTGTTTCTACATTCACCTTGAATATTTTGTTGCTTCCCTACTCAGACTTCATAATCAACTTCTGATTGGAATCATATAATGTCAAGAGGCTGTCCTTTATAACAACTGAGAACCCTTTCTCAATGAGTTGACCCACACTCATTAGATTGATTTTAATTCCAGGAACATACCAAACATCTTTGATCATAATTTTTTTCCATTATTCACTCTGACTCTGACATTTCCCATACCTTCTGCATTAAGATACTTATCATCAGCACATCTGATCTTTGTTCTCCTTCTGGAGTCAAAGTCTATCAGCCATTGTTTGTTCCCAGTCAAGTGGTTTGAACAACCAGTGTCCATATACCACCAATCTTCTGAACACTTTCCATCAAAATCAGAAGCCATCAGTAGCACAGGTTCATCATCAGAATCTCCTCTGGCTATATTTGCTTCTTCTGATTTCCTTCCTATGTTTCTACAATCTCTGGCAAAATGGCCAAACTGTTTACAACAGTAACATTGAACTTTCTTCTTGTCATACCTTTCTTTTCCCTTCTGATATTTCTTTTCATCAAAAGTTGAGGTTTATGACTTCTGGAATTTATCACCATGTCTATTATGCTTCTGGTCCTTCTTGACAAAAGAAGCCTTCAGAGCTTGCTCAACTTCCCTCTCAGAAACTCTTTCAGTCAGACACAACTCCTGCGCTTCTAAACTGCTTTACAACTCTTCTATTCTCATGGTTTCCAGATCTTTAGAATGTTTAATAAAAACAACAATATAATCAAACCGAAGAGTAAGTGACCTCAGAATTTTCTCTATGATTACCTGTTCAGAAAGTGTTTCTCCACAAGCTTTCATCTTATTAGTGATCAGAATCATTTTGGAGATGTACTCAGAAACGTTCTCACTGTTCTTCATGTTGAGATTCTCATATTGCTTTCGCAGGGACTGAAGCTTCACCTTCTTCACTGATACGTCACCACCGTAACATCTGACTAGTATATCCCATGCCTCTTTCGACTTCGTCAAATCAACAATCTTCTTAAACACACTTTCATCCACACACTGATGGATATAGAACATAGCTTTCTAATCCCTCTTCCTCGTAGCCCTTTCTGCAGATCTTTGTTCTTCAGTAGCATCTGCTGCAACTGGAACATAACCATTGGTAACAAGATCCAGAATATCCTGACCACCAAATAGCACACGCATCTGTATCATCCATCTGTTCCAACTTTTTCCATCAAAAATTGGAAGTTTAGTGTTCAAGATACTGCCTCCACTCATCTCAAACCTTGCACAAATCTCAGATCTCAGATCTCACTCAGTGTTTCCCAAACCCACAAAATCAGTGTGATTCTGTTCAGATTTTGTTGAAGATTCAACAGAAATCAAACACACAACTCACTTTTCACTCGTGTTTCCCAGAATTTCAGAAGAACAAAGTGCTCTGATATCAATTTTGTTGGTGCAAGGTGATGAAATTGAGAAAGAAGAGAGAAAATGATGAATGATAAAAAGCTGCTACAAATGATTGAAAAGAAATTGTTATTAATTAATGAAACCTAGTACACCTATTTATACACAAAAATAGTAAAGATAAGAATGTCACGTAGGCCCTAAGAGAGAATATTCCAAATATAGTAAATACTAAATTACCCCTTTAATAAAATATAATGTAAATTAAATTTTGACATAGACTACATTAGTTATGATGAAAGATAATTATGAAAAGAGAAATTAATTTAATTAACTAATTTTAATAGATTGAAAATTAATAATTTTAATTAATTAATCTGATCAAGTGTTTCCACTTGAGTCGTCAGACATTTAGACAAGATTTATTAATACCAGGAGTAAATCTAATAAACTTATATTAAATTTTAATCGTTTATAATAATCGATCAAACAATCATATAAATAATTTATTTAAAAATAATAATATTTGATGTCAATAAATTCTAATTGCATAAGGTTGGATTGTTTCCTTTTCTTTTTATTCCATTTTCTTCAACTTCACTTGAGAAAAATTTAATATTTAAATGAACATATTATAGTAATCTATTTTGTTTCTATGTGGTAATGAGAAAATGATATCATAATCTCTAGCAAACTCTATCACTTTTTGTAAAAAAAAAAAAATTGAATCTCATCAATTTTATTGAATATAATTTTATTTAAATTTAATCTTCTCATTTTATATATTGGTAAGAGTTAGAAAGTTTTGTGAAGATCGATTATTGGCATGAGACGGTGACATCTAACATGCATGTGGATTCTTCTTTTTCCTTATTAAATTAAAAAAAGAAAAACTAAATAACTTTTGAAGGCTAGGACCAAATAGAAAAAAGGAGCCGAAATAAAATGAGCATAAAAACAAAATATTAGTCAAAAGTTTGATATAGTAAAAGTAAGACAGGTAAAGAACCACTATTTTTTTACAATAGATCCAAAGAACCACTTCATCAGTTAAATAAACGTTTTATGAAAATAAAACTAAAGAGAAAGAGGTATTCTTAGTTTTCTACATTTAGTTATAAGAAAACATTTAGTTAATATATAAGGAGGAATATGTGAAGCCAACTAAGGCCAACTTTCAGAGATCTATAATCAAACTTACATAATTTTAAGATAGATAAATTTTTTATTTAAATAGAAACTATTTAGATTTTGCTGGTGAAAATCTGACAGAATAATTTAAAATGATTTAAGAATATTATTATTCAAAATTCAAACATATAAAAAAAATGTACGTGCAGAATTAAAGAATAAGTACAACTAAAATAAATGACTTAAAGTAACACAATAATATCTCAAAAGTAGTGTAAATTCAATCTACGACTTTAATGTTATTAATGCTATAGATTCAGAGACATGAATATTTCGGACATTTCAATATAGTCATATTCATATTTATAGACTTATGCAATTTGCCGTTTTATGATATTAACATGAATGTTGTGAATTTGTTCGCATATTCATCCTTTTTGTTTTTGGCGATTTTGAATTTGTATTTCAACGATGTACTCTATCAATTTGAATGCGTGAATATCATTTGTTTTTAGTTCAAAAATAACATGTCAAAAGTAAAAGTAAAATCACACCAAAGAGCAAGATGAATTTTGTGTTGAGGCATCATGTGGGACAAGATGTTTCAGCATGTGTGCGCAATATCTGGCCTCAGTATGCAGACATAGACTTGTGAGTGAATATGTGCATTTTGATATTTGATTCCTAGAAGATTTATTGTTGTATCTTTTAGCAAATATTATTTAGTAATATTTACTAAAACGATTTTATTAATCGATAAGTTTGAAGAAGATTTAATTAGATATGGATTAATTAAAAATGATTTGGATTTGGTTTAAATAAGAAAATTTGATTGGATTTACATTGAAAAAAAGATTTAATTGAATATGCTTCGAAGATAGATTTGCTCCAGTTTTATCCAAGATTGTGATGAAGATTTAACTAAACAAATATTTCATGAAAAGATTTAATGAGATTTGTTTTAATTACAATATAGGGATTTGTACTTAATGAGAAGATCTTCGATCCAAGATTTAAAAGTGTGGTTCAGTTTTAGAAAGAGATTTATTCTGAATCTTTTACTTGAAAAAAAGTTGAAATTGGGATTTATATCAAATATTTTTTATTCAGAATTTTGTCACGAGGATGGATGTCGAACCCAATGTCCAGCATGTGTGCAACATCTGACATTTGATAGGAAGTCATGATTATTGTTATTCTGAGCGTAATTTTTGTACATGTGAAACAAGATTTCTTGTTATATTTTAGAAATGTGTTATTTGGATGTGTTTGATAAAGATTGAATGAGATCAAATCAATTTAAGTTAGAGATTTAAATTTGAAATAAAAACAAATCAAATTTTTGTTGTTGGAGGTTGTTAAGAAACAAATAAAAAAGAATCTTTTACATTTTTGGACGAGTTCAAAGTTGCTTATGCCCATTGGAGAAAAGCTTAGAAGTTGCATTGCTATTTAAGGAGACTCAAACTTAACATTTAAGTTGTGCAAGTATTAAAGATTCCTAGTGTTAGGGTTTATCTTTTTAGTCTTTGGTTGTGTTATTGTTTGTGCACCACTCTAGCGTCTGCATTCATATTTTAAGGCATATAGTTTGGTTTGTTAGTTGAGTTATAATTAAGCATTCGGTGTTTTGTTTATTGAGTTGATCACTAAGGTTAGTGATTGAGAAAAAGTGAGAGGAGTTCTCATATTTAGGGGGCGGAGTCTTAAATAGAAAGTCGGTAGGATTAGAAGAAGCATTGAGCAACATGGGGTTGTTGTTCCTATAAGAATAATTGTACTAATTCGAAATAGTGGATTTCTTTTCTTGGGTTGTAATCCCTCATACGTATGTGAGGTTTCACTGAACTGGGTTAACAAATCATTATACTCTTTATTGTTTTATGTTTTAAATTATACGTTCATGTTTTTTGGTATAAGTTGTCCTAGACATCGTGTACGACATCTATCCCCATAATCTATCATCTGCCATAAATTAGTTATACACGTTGTCCCAAGCATTTGGTCTAACATATGTTCTCCTAAGAACAAATTTTCAATTGGCATTAGAGAAGGCACCCTATTATGTTTGGGTGTGTTCCAGGATTCTTATTCTGATCAAGATGGAGAATGCCATAGAAGGAGGAGCAGTTCATCAACCAAAGATTATTTATGGTGATAAGAATCCTCCAATGATTGTTGACAACTGTAAAGATTCTGAAGACCAAGTAGATTATGATACTGAAGAAAATCTCAAGCTTGGTAAGATCTTTATTAAAGTAATGAGAAAAGTATATAGGAGATTTGTGAATAATATCTCTACAAATGTTCAAGACAATCAACAACACAATTTCAAAATGTGTAAATTTCACAAAAAGGAATAAGAGGTGAAAATATCAATTGGATCTAATGTATTAAATACAAAGATTTTGGAAATATTCAAGTTGAATGCTTAAGCTTTTCAAGGAAACAAGGAAGAATCTACAATGTCACTAATGATGAGGAAGGTGAATCTAATGAAGCAAACAATGTTGTGACCTTCAAAGACATGAAAGACATTATACATATCGATGAATAATCAAATTCAAAGAAAAAGTGTATTACTCATATTCAGAAAATAGATTGCAGAATGTCAGGAAACAAGTCTCAACATCATGTCAAACTTTTTTACCATAAAACAATATGTGAAATGTCAGGTCACAAGTCTCAACATCCTTTCAAACATGTTTAATAAAAAACAAAATGGAGAATGTTGGGTAACATGTCTCAACATCCAGTCACACATAGTTACTGGTGCACTAATTTTGTCTACTCCATTACACTATATTGCTATAAATATGGTAGACAACCATATCACCAACATATGTATCCCTAGTGGAATGAGAAGTCTGAAAGGCATCATCAACAAGTTTAACATGGAAAGCCTAATATCCTTGTTCATATTGTTTGTTCCTCCCACATGGTATTTTCTTGTGAAGATTGTCATTTTGAAAGTAGTTGCAATAGACACTTGATAGGAGAAAGAAAATATGCTACATTTTGTGATAACAATAAGAGAAATAAATTTGTAAAGATGGAGATGGTTGCTTCCATTGTAGAGCATAATGTTTCAAACATCATGGATGACATTGTAGATACGGAAACTAAGCTATGGCACATAAAGCTTGGGGGTTGTTGGAGAGAAAGTTGTCATATGTGTATTGATCTCAAAATTGAGGAAGGTAAAACTTATGAGGACTGTCAAGTTGGGAGGCAAACCAAGATTTAATACATGATGTTTCAGAATCTTACTCATGTTTTTGAATTACCACTTATGAACTTTACGAGACTCATGCAAGAAGTTGTCATAGAAGGGAATGTCGATGGTCCGGATGGAGGTCCTCCCAACATTGAACATGATATTGTGTTTGGTGAAGCTAAAATTGGGGTTCCTCTTAGTGTGTTGAATTTCAGCTATAAGATGTATGCCAGGAAACATGTACTAGACATTGCTCTCCATAGTATTCCATATTTTGAAAATTTTGATCTAGCTGTTGGTGGAAATGTGATTAATGTTCCACTCATGTATGGACCTATAACAAACCATTATCTCATTCAAAAGAATTTTGTTGATGAGACCCAGGAAAGTCAAGATGTTAATAAAGACGTGTCAAACATCATGCCCGACATGTTGGAGATAGAGTCTCAAATTCATAAGGAGAATGATGATGTGATCCTTGAGAATAATTCTGTGAGTGATGATGATCATGTCCATGAAGATGTTAAGATGTTACTATTGTAGTCCATGATGGTGTTGTTAATAAAAATAATGAGAAAATAAAATCTTAATCAAAAGGAAAAAAGGATCATGTAGTAGAAGATGTGGACATGGATGTTAAGACATTGTGTGAAGACGTGGTAAGTAGTGACGAAAGCATATGTCTGGGGTGTGCTATTAAGAGCGAGGTATATAGATTATTACCAAGGGCACACAATATATAGATGTCCTTATTAATGTTGCTCAAACTGAAATGACTCCCCATGAAGATGAAGATTTTGAACTTATAGGTCTTAATGTGAAGCAAGTTGTTGTTGACGAAACATGAATCACCATGTTGTTTGCTGAAGAAGATTGAAATTTATATGATTCTGAAACTTTTGCTATGATTTCCCATCTTGGAGAGATCATATTGTTACTAAAATGGTCATGTGTTTTAAAGTTCAAACTTTATCAGATGGATGTGAAAAGTGCCTTCCGCAATAGGTACTTGAATGTGGAAGTTCGTATGAATGTTGCATCTGATATCAACAACATGGAGGGTGTCAATGTGGAAGAAAATGAGAATTTGATGACAGTTCACATTTATGTTGAAGATATTGTATTTTATAGGATGTCAAGTAAGATGTTAGAACATTTTTCTCAACAAAGGAGAGCTAAATTTAAGTTGAGAATGGTAGGAGATGTTACCTACTTTCCTAATTTTTAAGTGAAGCAAGTGAAGGAATGCACCTTTGATTCCAAAGTATATATGCTGGAATTAGTTACACTCAACTGTTGAGGAGTAACAAAATGCTCAAATATGGTAATGAAGATGTCAACTAGGATGTGCCAGATAACTTGTATGACAATTTTGTGACTGAGTTTCCCAATAAGAGGAAGGATGAGCAAGTTGCCCTTGTTAATTCCGAAGTGAATAGAAATATTTTTTAAACAAGTGACTCTGATATAGGCGATGAAGAAGATGTCCTGGACATTATGCACAGTGTAAGGCGAAAGGTTGGTCGGAAGATAGTTCATGTGAATGTCTCATTTGCTCAAAAAGATAATGTTACATTTCATTCTTAATCTAGTGTTCAAAAGTGGAAATATATTTTCCAAAGAAGGATTGCTGGTGAAAGAGAGCTAGATAAAAAAGCTCTTAATTGTAAAGAGACTATGGACTTTGTGAAAGCGTCTGGGTTAATAAAATTTTAAATAATGAGATTCCTTGCTATGTAAAGTTGGTCAAGGAATTCACTGTGAACATTACTGCTGAGTGTAATATTGAAGGAAACAAGGAGTATAAAAAGGCGTGTGATAGAGGAAATTGTGTGAAATTTTCACCTTAAATTATTAATGATTATTTGGGTAGAAACAAGGTTCCCCCTATTGACAAGATTATGACCAAGTAAAAAGAAGCTAAGAAAGAATAAGAAGTTGGCCATACACTACACGGTTACACCACTTCCCCATAAAATCAGGATTCCATATGCAAACCTATCCTAATTGAATTTCATTCCTCTAAAAACCTTTCACACGTATTCATAAAATGAAATATCACAATCCATTCAATCCCCACACGCTTTTGTAAAATATCTTCACACACTTCCTCTCAATTCACACACACCCACGACCTAACCCTAATTTATCCCTATAAATCTTAACTCATTTTCATCCACTCAGCAGCCACTAAGACATACCTATTACATCTAGAAAATTCATAGAAAAAATTGCAGCACCTTCATCTTCAAACCCTCACCATAGCTCATTAAGCCACAATCATTGAAGCTTTTCATTGAAGTTTCGAGTGATTTGAGAATAAGACTTCATCATCTCACAGTTGCAGAGGAATTCACAAATTCAAAAAAGAGAAGTCAGAGAGAGTAGAAGAAGAAGAATTCGAAGAAGGAAGAAGAAAACAAGAAGTAGAGAGAGTAATTAAATATATCTGAAGAGTTTGGGTTGTGGATCACTTAGCATTTTGGTATTTAAATTTATTTTTGTTGCTTGTTCATATCATTGTAGGTTTAAACCCTTTCCCTATGTAAATCATGGCCATATGTATGATTTAAGCCAATGGACATGATAAAATAAGGGTACCGAGTTGTGTGGGGTTTGGGTGTTTTTTGGATTTTTCTCTGATTTTGATGAATTGCGTTTATGTATGTTGTTTGCTGCTAGATTTGGGTTAAGGTTTGAGTTTCATATGTGTTTTTTGTTTTAGATTTAGGGTTTTGGTTGATTTTCAAGTTAAGTGTTCGTTTGAAATAAAGGGTTTGATATGTATTTGTTTGATGTTTGTTGTTAAATTTTGGGTCAGATTCAAGTTCAGGAATGAGATTTAGGGTAGTTTTGTGTTGATGTCTTTATGTTTTGAAGAGTGTGGAGGGTTTTCTGGGTTATGAACAGAGGAAGAAGATGAAGGTTCCTCATCATGATGATAAAATTTATGAAGATGAACCAAAGTCTTGGTTTTCACAGTGGGTATCAAAGATGAGCAAGGTTGAGATGGCGGTCAAAGTAGAAGGTGGTCGGGTCAAACCCAACCCAGATGCACTAATTGACCCAGGGCCCATATGTTTTATTTAGTTTTTTTGTTTCTTATTCGTTTGGCTTCACACATTTGGATTTGCCCCTCATACTTGGTTACACCCCCACTTGCATATTTCAAGCCCATTTTCTCTTTAAATTTAGTCTTTTTTTTTTCCTTTTTTTATTATTGATTTAAAACTAAAAAAGCAACTAAGTATTTTATTTTTATTGTAAAAAATAAATTTTCCCTAAATGCATAAAAATTAAACACTTCCCTTTAGATAAATTTTTAATCAAAATCAAGAAGACATAAAAAATAAAAACTTTCTTTTATAGTTGATTTTAAAATTGAACAATTCTAAAAAAACAAGAATGACATGTCTTTTCCTTAAATTAATTTATTTTCTCTTGCTTGGTTGGTTGTGAATATTTATCCCTGTGTGTGTGAATAATTTGTCTTGTTTATTTAGCCTATTTATTTGACTATTATTTGTTAATTAGATAAAAATATAGGCGAAACAAAATGAATCTTTCTTTAAAATTCAAAACGATTGGTTAACATCAAGTTATTTTTCAAACTCATTTAAATTAACTCTGACAAATGCCAATCTAATGCTTGATCAACATCAATCCTCTTTCCAAGTTCATGTCACACTTAAATCATTTTCAATCAATACGAATCAAATTCTTGGTCAATATCAAGTTTCTTTTCCCATCTAATCAACACTTTTCAAATATTTTTTACTCAAATAAATGGAATGAAAATGGACGTGATTAGGCATAGGCTCTTCCATCTCCGAGTACTTGGATATTTCCATAGGGCTCACTGTTCGAGAACTTGTCTTCCAAACTAAAACACAATATTTAAAACGAATTTAGTTTATTATTTCACAAATGAAAAAAGGGATTGATTGTGTGTAGACATCTTCCTTCTGTGTATTTGGGCATTGTTATATAGCTCATTGTCAGAATACTTGTATTTCGCTAAAGAATTGTGACTATACACGCCTCATATATTTTACAATAAAATTGCATGAGAGATGGATTAATTTGGCATAGTCCTCTTTCTTCCTTGAATATTTGGATATTTTTGTAGAGCTAACTGTTCAAATATTTATCATACATATAAAAATAACTCAACCAATCAAATGCATTTTCTGCCTTAGTGTGATATCAAAACCTTTTCATAAACGAAATATGCTTCACCCATTCTTAGACAACTTAAACAATGCTTCGTTCATACCACATGCAAGAAGTACATTTTCTGCTCGAATGGGACAAGAACATAAATCTGTGAGAATCGGGACTCGGTTGTCCATTCTTGATGCAATGCAAATGTTTACTTCTCCATATTTTGGGTAGCAAGTAATGTTTTCCGTTCAAATTTGACCAAGTACCTCACGCTAAAATTGACAAACCAATAAACATACATTTTCAACCCAGAACTATGTAGTCTTGAGTTCCCCATCGCACCTAGGGATATGTAAGAGCGAGATTCATCGTCTCGTCAGGCACATTATAAAAATCTAAATATTTTCTCTTTCTCTTCTTTTATAAATATGTCACAATAATTAGAAGATAACAAGTAACATAAGCTAACATTCATTCTCAAACTAACTAAATGGTTCTCGTTGAGTACAATAGATGTGAGGAGTGATAATACCTTTCCCATCATATAACCGACCCCAAACCCTAATTTGGTTGTGACGACCATTTTATTTTTTTTTAAGGGTTTTATTGATATTTTCCCTTTTCTGTTGGAATAAATAAACTTTGATGGTGACTCTGTTGTATTTCAAGTGTTCCTTACGCTCGGATATTTTTCTCGTCGCGACAGTTGACGAATCTGCTAGGGATCCTTCTCTAAAGCGAGTCCACCATAGTTTAGTTGTTTATGTTGAATGTATGGCTTTTATTTTACTTTCTTTCTTATTCATCTTTTATTTCTTATTGTCTATATTATTCATTTGTTGTATGGGTTCGCATATGTCGTGGTTGGAACTATGAGTGCAACTTCACTATTATATGTTTTGCATGATGTCAAAATTGGGAAACTTACCATTTTTGTATATTAGATAGTATCTATGTTTCTTTTGGTGCACCCTTGAAATAGAGGTCTTATGAAGCACTCAAAACAACTCTAAATTTGGCCAAAAACATGAAAAATCATTTTATGCACAAAAATTAATAGCATGTGTCGGCACAATGGACTTTCAGGCCGACACATGTACTACAATTTAAAAGATTGTAGATTTTATCTTGTATAGGTCGAAACATAGTCTGTTTTAGATCGGCACACGATGAAAAAAATAACAGTATGTGTCAGCACATACAATTTTTAGGCCAACACATGTGCTTCTTTATTAAAGTATGTAGCTTATGTTTCTCATGTGTCGGCATATTGCCTGTTTTAGGTCAACACATGAGTAAATTTTTGACATCATGTATCGGCACATAACTCGTATGTGCCAGAAAATCCTAATTGTTTGGTCAAATTATTTAATTGTTTT